TGGGCGGTAGTCACCACATACCCATCATGTGGGCAGTAGTCACCACATACCCATCCTGTGGGCGGTAGTCACCACATACCCATCATGTGGGCGGTAGTCAAAAGACTACAGAGGTACATAATTGGTCAAGGGACTGGACTCCAAAGTTTTGATAGCTGAGCAAGTTACAGAGGTAATGAACTCACAATTTACAAAGGTAATGAACTCACAATTTACAAATGTAATGAACTCCAGGCAGGTCTGGTCACAATCATGACAAGTTACAAAGGTATTTACAGATTACAGAGGTACGTAATGGGTCCAGGGACTGGGCCCCCAAAATTTTGATAGCTGAACTAGGTACAAAGGTAATGAACTCACAAGATTCAAAGGTAATGAATCCTGTAAGAATGGTTACTTACGTTAATACATGGCTACAATCATGAACAAATTACAGACCAATGAACAATTCACACTTCCACAACCCGGTCACAACTGTAATGAGTTATTGGTGCAAATATTGATTGTTGAATCTCACACTCACACTCTCTCACACACACACACACACACACACACACACACACACACACACACACACACACACACACACACACACACACACACACACACACACACACACACACACATTGAAGGAACTAGGACATGTCCAAGGACCTTACCAGATACCTGTGGGGGCCAGGAACAGGTGAGCAGGAAGGACAAACCAAGAAGCATAGGGGTCATAACTAGGGAAGGGACTGAAGGAAGGAACACTCCATGGGAAGGAACTAAAACACATCAGAGGATGCAATGGGAGTCACAGTGGGAGGTGGAAAGGGAGAGATCCGTGTTTGTCTATGGGCTAGACGAAGCTAAAGGGGAAACTTGTGATGAAAGAAAGCAGGAGGAGAAAAAAGCGATTGAAGATATCATGAAGGTGATAGGTGAGGGGGACATGACCCAGGTGGCAAATTTTCGGAGAATTTGGTGGTTCACAAAGAAAAGGAATCAGCCTCTCAAAGTAATTTTCAAGGCAGAATCAACCCGAACCATGATCCTGCAGGAGAAAGCATGGCTGAGAGGCAAGCAGGAGTTCCGGAGTGTGTACCTCGATCGAGACAGAACACAGGACGAAAGGAAGACAATGAAAGAGAGAGTTCAAAAACGAAAGGAGAAATGGGAGGAAATGAAAAAGGAGAGCAGAATAACCCAGGATCAAATGGAAGGACAAGCGCACCCCCCAGAAACACCTGCAGAAGGACTCCAGCCACGACACCCCCAAGGCAACTGAACAATCCAAACCAACCCTCACACACCGATCCCTCTGTTTCCACCCCCCGCACCACAGTTACAGTATTAGAACAGAAGTTGAAGGTTTGGTACACAAATGCAGATGGATTAACGAATAAACATGAGGAATGGCAAGAAAGAATCAATGAGAAGTCCCCAGACATCATAGCAGTTACAGAAACAAAACTCACGGAGACAATAACAGATGCAATCTTCCCACCAGGATACCAGATCATGAGGAAAGATAGAAGGGGCAGGGGGGAGGGGGGGTTGCTCTGCTCGTAAAAAACAGATGGAAATTCGAGAAAATGGAAGGCATAGATGAGACGGGAGAAAGAGACTACGTAGCAGGTACACTTCAGTCTGGGGAACACAAAGTGGTTATTGCAGTGATGTATTATCCACCACAGAACTGCAGGAGGCCAAGAGAGGAATATGAAGAGAGCAACAGAGCAGTGGTGGACACACTTGCTGAGGTGGCAAGAAGAGCTCATTCCAGCAGAGCAAAGTTGCTGGTTATGGGGGATTTCAACCACAGGGAGATTGACTGGGAAAACCTGGAGCCACATGGGGGTCCCGAAACATGGAGAGCCAGGATGCTGGACGTGGTGCTGGAAAACCTCATGCACCAACATGTTAAGGACACTACCAGAGTGAGAGGGGAGGATGAACCAGCAAGATTGCACTTTGTGTTCACCCTGGGCAGCTCAGACATTGAGGACATCAAGTATGAGAGTCCCCTAGGAGCTAGCGACCATGTGGTTATGTGCTTTGAATACATAGTAGAGCTGCAAGTGGAGAGAATAACGGGAGTTGAATGGGAAAAGCCTGACTATAAAAGAGGGGACTACATAGGGTTGAAGAACTTCCTGCGGGAGGTCCAGTGGGACAGAGAACTGGCTGGAAAGCCAGTAAATGAAATGATGGAATATGTAACAACAAAATGCAAGGAGGCAGTGGAAAGGTTTATTCCCAAGGGCAACAGTAACAACGGGAAGACCAGAACGAGCCCCTGGTTTACCTGATGGTGTAAGGAGGCAAAAACAAAGTGCAATAGAGAATGGAAAAAGTACAGAAGGCAGAGAACACATGAAAATAGGGAGACCAGTCGCAGAGCCAGGAATGAGTATGCACAGGTAAGGAGGGAGGACCAGCGACAGTATGAAAATGACATAGCATCGAGAATCAAGACTGACCCGAATCTGTTGTATAGCCACTTCAGGAGGAAGACAACAGTCAAAGACCAGGTGATCAGATTAAGGACAGAAGGTGGAGAACTCACAAGAAATGATCAGGAGGTATGTGAGGAGCTGAACAGGAGATTTAAGGAAGTTTTTACAGTAGAGACAGGATGGGGTGTGGGAAGACAGCACAGAAGGGAACATCAAGAGGGAATATACCAACAAGTGTTGGATGACATACGAACAACTGAGGAGGAGGCGAAGAAGCTCTTAGGTGACCTTGACACCTCAAAGGCGATGGGACCGGACAACATCTCCCCATGGGTCCTTAGAGAAGGAGCAGAGATGCTGTGCGTGCCTCTAACCACAATCTTCAACACATCCCTTGAAACTGGGCAACTACCTGAGAAATGGAAGACAGCTAATGTAGTCCCCATATTTAAGAAAGGAAACAGAAACGAGGCACTAAACTACAGACCTGTGTCTCTGACATGTATTGTGTGCAAAGTCATGGAGAAGATTATCAGGAGGAGAGTGGTCGAACACCTGGAAAGGAACAAGATTATAAATGAAAACCAGCATGGGTTCATGGAAGGCAAATCTTGTATCACAAAACTCCTGGAGTTTATGACAAGGTAGCAGAAGTAAGACACGAGAGAGAGGGGTGGGTAGATTGCGTTTTCCTAGACTGCAGGAAGGCCTTTGACACAGTTTCCCACAAGAGATTAGTGCAGAAGCTGGAGGATCAGGCACATGTAAAAGGGAGGGCACTGCAATGGATAAGGGAATACCTGACAAGGAGGCAGCAACGAGTCATGGTACGTGAAGAGGTATCACAGTGGGCGCCTGTTACGAGCGGGGTCCCACAGGGGTCAGTTCTAGGACCAGTGCTATTTTTGATATATGTGAACGACATGATGGAAGGAATAGACTCTGAAGTGTCCCTGTTCGCAGATGACGTGAAGTTGATGAGAAGAATTAAATCGGACGAGGATGAGACAGGACTGCAAACAGACCTGGACAGGCTGGACATGTGGTCCAGTAACTGGCTTCTCAAATTCAGTCCAGCCAAATGCAAAGTCATGAAGATTGGGGAGGGGCAAAGAAGACCGCAGACAGAGTATAGGCTAGGTGGACAAAGACTACAGACCTCACTCAGGGAGAAAGACCTTGGGGTGACCATAACACCGAGCACATCACCGGAGGCACACATCAACCAAATAACTGCTGCAGCATACGGGCGCCTGGCAAACCTGAGAATAGCGTTCCGATACCTTAATAAGGAATCGTTCAAGACACTGTACACTGTGTATGTTAGGCCCATACTGGAGTATGCAGCACCAGTCTGGAACCCACACCTGGTCAAGCACGTCAAGAAGTTAGAGAAAGTACAAAGGTTTGCAACAAGGCTAGTCCCAAAGCTCAAGGGAATGTCGTACGAGGAAAGGTTAAGGGAAATCGGACTGACGACACTGGAGGACAGAAGGGTCAGGGAAGACATGATAACGACATACAAGATACTGCGGGGAATAGACAAGGTGGACAGAGATAGGATGTTCCAGAGAGGGGACACAGGGACAAGGGGTCACAACTGGAAGCTGAAGACTCAGACGAGTCACAGGGACGTTAGGAAGTATTTCTTCAGTCATAGAGTTGTCAGCAAGTGGAATAGCCTAGCAAGTGAAGTAGTGGAGGCAGCAACCATACATAGTTTTAAGAAGAGGTATGACAAAGCTCAGGAGGCAGAGAGAGAGAGGACCCAGTAGCGATCAGTGAAGAGGCGGGGCCAGGAGCTAAGTATCGACCCCTGCAACCACAAATAGGTGAGTACAAATAGGTGAGTACACACGCATGCACACGCACACTTATGAGTGTGAAGGATGATGGTTTATGTTGTAGCAGAGAGACACGAGGCACTGTAATTATGTAGAGAATAAGATTACAAGTAATTTGAATACAATATGGTGGTATAAAAGAAACAATTAAAATCGTAGAACAGGGGTTGTTAATAATTTAAAAAATATGATTCAGCAAGGTGGGTTAATTATGATGAGACCTATGTTAATCTTAGATGTATGGAAGATGTCAGATACATCCCAAGAAGGGTTGGAAGGAAGGTGTAAGAAGTAGGATTGTGACCGTCCAGTAGGCACGATTGAGCGTCCTTGAGTGAAGACGAGAAGCAGTTTTAATGATTTGAAATCCTGTAAGAGTGTGAGCAAGGTAATATCTATTAAGAGATGCAGGTAAATCGGTTAACTAGATTTGAGTTTTGAAGGGAGAAAATAGAGTCCCTGCACTTTGAATCAGTGGATTATTACATTATGATGTCTATGCACGTCCAGGGAGGTACTTACTGAATGTACTGTATTTACTTCTTTAGGTTAGGTCACTCTGCTTTGGCAGGAAGGATTGAATTTATGATTGTTATTGGTAATTTAGTTATTTTCTTTTTATTCTCTTCCGGTGAACAATATACAGGTATAATCTTAGTTTTGGACTGTGTCCCCCAGACTGGCATGATGCAGTAATGTGTTTCATGTTCCCTAGACTCCCACGATGCAGTAATACGCTTCAACCACGCACCCACCGAGGGGTTCGAGGAAGACGTAGGTACGAGGACAACCTTGAGAATCATCAACTCTCAGGTTGTAACTAAGCCCAACTTCGACTTCTGGGGCTCACCCCTGTACTCTGGCGTGGCGTTGCTGGTGTGGGATCCCTGCAAGTATAATGCCTCCCTGGACGAGGTGAGCCGGTCACCCTTCACTTTCCCACAGACTGTCTCCACTATGTCCTCTGTCTCACTACCAACATCAGGTCCCTCTCCTATATTCTTGTTTCCCCAGTTCTTCACATACACTCCTGTCTTCCTCACGTGTAAGTAAGTTTATTTAGGTACAGGTACACATAAGTACAATTATCATGCACAGTTTAACAATGTATAAATTACTTAGGATAACCCAAAAAAGTCAAAGTGACTTATTTCCATTGTGGTCTTTGTAATATTTCAATATTTAAAGCCTAGCTGTAAATTACAGTAGAAATTAGTCATCATTATAACCTTAAAAAAATTAAAACAGTTAAGTAACTCAACTGTGTGAATCCTCTTCTTCTTTTTCACACAGCCACCATTATCTCTTTCTTCCATATCTCATATCCCACTCTCTTCTTCTCATACCCACCCCTCTCCACAGTCTTTCTCTCACATACATTTATTCACTTAACTGTCTCTTCTAAACATAGTCCATTGCAACCTTCATTATTTGTAATTTGGTTCATGGAAAACAGATGAAAAAATTTAACTAATCTTCTATTTTTATTTTATTTGCTAAATATAATGGCAGTGACTGGAATTTATAAGTACACTGTACAGTATTTCCATTCCTGCAGTGGTACAGGTCACCGGACTTTGACTTCTTCCCTGTGTACTTCCGTCGACGACTGATGCTGCCACAGGAGGACATGCATCTGCTGCACCCAGCCTCCCTCTGGCGGGTGTGGGATGTGCTTCAGAGCCATACGAACACCCACGTCCTCCCCAACCCACCCTCCTCTGGCTTCCTCGGTGAGCTTCCTCTCATACCGTCTCCTGCCACAGACATGCATCATCAAATACTCATGTTCAGTCGTGCTGTATAGCCCTTGTGGCTTAGCGCTTCATTTTGATTATAATAATAATCATGTTCAGTCACAATTAAACACACCTAGTCATTAATGAAATAAAATCAAAGAAAGGATGGTGCTCGAACAATGGCAGGCGAGTCCTAAAATTATCTGGTGACTGAACCAGGTGGCTCTGTGAGTTTTAGGACTCTCCTGCCATGGGTTTGAGCTCTACACATTCTGTGACCTGTTTGCAAACATGTTATTAAGATTTCATGAGTCACGTATGAAACTATAAAAACACACACATGTATAGTACAAACATATTTACCCTGAGGTCAGTGGTCAGAATATTCTGTGCATGAACAAAAGTTCCCGAGTTTCATCCCAGGAACTTTTTTGTGAACATAATGACAGTGTGTAACAACCAAGTGATTGAATTAGCATAATTTTTGTTATTTTGTATGCAAGATTTTTAGTTTTTAACACTTGGTCGACAAATAAATTGTATAGATGAGTTGTGAAAATTTTTGCAACCCAAAAACCCAGCCGGGAAAAATAGGCGGTAAGGGGGTTTTACAGGGGCCCTGGGGAGGGCCCCCCAAAATTTAAACCTTAAGGTAAAACCCCCAAAAAACAAACCCCAAACAAACCCCAAGTCCCCCCACCCCTAACAAATTAAGAAAACCCCCTTTTGGGAAACCCCTTCCCCGGTGGTCACCCTGGGCCCCAGAAACCCAACCTTTTTTCAATGAACCCCACAAGGAAAACCCCTTTAAAGTGAATTTAACCGGGAAAACCCTTAAAGGAACCCTACCTGCCCAAAACCTTTTCCCCACCCCTACAAGAACAAACCTTAAAGGTCCCCTACCCCCAAAACCAAACCCCGGGTCCCCCAATAACAAATCCAAAATCCCTTTCCTCCATCCCCCCCCCCCCCAAAAACACCCTTCCCCAGTAGACAAACCCCTTGGCCACCCCCTTTCCCCCTTACACCCTACAAGAACAAAATTTCCCTTCACCCTCCCCTCCCACCGTACACCCTGGTAAAAAATAACAAACCCGGGCCCGGGTTCCCCTACCCGAAACACCCCTTCACCGGGCATCCCCCAAAAACAAAATTTTAAAAGTCCCCCTTAAATGCAACAAAACCCCACCGAGTCCCCCTTCCAAAACCGCAACACAACCTTCACCAGAAACCCCCTCCACACCAGCAACACAACCTTCACCAGAACCCACCCTCCACACCAGAAACAAAACCTTCACCAGTAGCCCACCCCCCCAAAAACCTCAACAAAACCCTTCACCTTTAGTCACCCTCCACACCAAACACAGCCTCACCAGTATCCCCTTCCCACCCGAAAACAAAACCTTTCACCAGTAGCATCCCCACACCAGAACACAACCTTCACCATTAGTCACCCTCCACACCGGCAACACACCCCCCTTTCCCCATTAGTCACCCCTCCACCCCAGCAACAAAAACCCTTTCACCAGTAGTCATCCCCCCCCCACCTGCAACACAACCCTTCACCAGTAGTCACCCTCCCCCCCTTTAAAAACAACCCTTCACCATATCATCCCCCCACCCCAAAACAAAACCCCTTCACCAGAAATCCCCCCTCCACCCCAGCAACACAACCTTCCCCCGTATCACCCTCCACACCACAACACAACCTTCCCCAGTACCCACCCTCCACCCCAGCAACAAAACCCCTTCCCAACCATAGCCCACCCTCCACCCACCCAACAAAACCCTTCACCGGGTATCACCCTCCACACCAGTAACACAACCCCCACCAGTACCCCCTCCACACCAAAACACAACCTTCACCAGTACCCATCCCCCCAAACACCAGTAACAAAACCCTTCACCAGTATTCCAACCCCCCAAACACCTGCAAAAACACCTTCACCAGAAAGCCCCCCTCCCACCACAACAAAACCCTTCCCCCAGTAGTCACCCCCCCCCCCCACACCTGCCAACAAAAACCTTCACCATACCACCCTCCACCCCAGCAACACAACCTTCACCAGTAGTCCTTCCTCCACACCAAAACCCCAAAACCCTTCACCATAGTCACCCCCCCACACCAGCAACACACCCTTTTCACCAGTACCACCCCTCCCCCCCTGCAACACCCCCTTCACCATATCACCCTCCACACCACCCAACACAACCTTCACCAGTTTCACCCTCCACACCAGAAAACCAAATTTCACCAGTAGTCACCCCCACACCAGCAACAAAAACCCTTCCCACCAGTATTCACCCCCCAAACCAGTAACCCCAAGCCTTCACCGTAGTCACCCTCCACACCAGTAACACAACCTTCACCATACCCACCCCCAAAACCCCAAAGAAACACAACCTCACCAGTGGGTCCCCCTCCACCCCAAATAACACACCCTTTCACCGGGAATCCCCCTCCAAAACCAGTAACAAAACCCCTTCACCATTATCACCCTCCAAAACCATTAACACCCTTCACCAGTATCACCCTCCACCCCCAAGCAACACAACCTTCACCAGTATTTCACCCTCCACACCTGCAACAAAACCTTCCCCAAAAGTCACCCTCCACACCATAACAAACCTTCACCAGTATCACCCCCACACCTGCAACCCCAACCCTTTCACCAATTCACCCTCCAAAACCGCAACCCCCAACCTTCACCAGTATCACCCTCCACACCAAAACCACAACCTCACCAGTAGTCACCCTCCACACCAGCAACAAAAACCTTCACCATATTCACCCTCCCCACCGCAAACAAAAACCCTTCACCATTAGCCACCCTCCACACCTGCAACAAACCTTAACCAGTATCACCCTCCACACCACAACACAACCTTCCCCCATTTTCCAAACCCCCCCCACACCCAAGCAACACAACCTTCACCAAAATCCCCCTCCACACCTGAAAACAAAACCCTTTCACCAGTAGCCCCTCCACCCCAAGCAACACAACCTCACCAGTAGTCCCCCCCCACACCTAAAACACAACCTTCACCAGAAAGTCACCCCCCACACCAGTAACAAAACCCTTCACCAGTACCCACCCTCCACCCCCTGCAACACAACCTTCACCAAAAGTCCCCCTCCACACCAGAAAACACAACCTTCACCAGTATTTAAAACCCTCCACCCCCAGCAACACAACCTTAAACCAAGTATCCCCAACAGAGTAAAGCCCCGGGGAAGCTACGTGAAAAACCCTCTGTTCCACAAGGCACAGTACTCTCCCATCTTTTTTCCTCATCCTCAAAAACCCCCAAAAAAATAGACAAGGATGTCACCCCACACACCGTGTTTTCCCTTTTTGCAATGACCCCCGAATCTGCATGACGGGTTTTCTTCCTGCAAGGGAAAGCAAGGGTCCAGGGGGACACAACCCAAAACTTTTAGTGGCTGCAAAAAAACAATAATGAAGTTCAAAAGATGAGAAAATTTCAATACTCAGATATGGTAAAAAATGAGGAAAATTAAAAACTTCATCAGGTAAAAAACAAATTCTGGCCACCCAAAAAAGAGCAAACACCAACGTAAAGACCTGGGGGTGATTAAGTCGGGGGATCTACCTTTAAAGGGCCTAACATTGTAACAAAACGCATCTGCTTTGAAAAAGACAGGAAGGGTAATAAAAACCTCAAAAATAGGGAGGCCCAAGCCCATGATGACACTCTTTAGGGCACCCTTTTTCTATCTAGGCCGGAATATTGCTGCACTCAACACAAATTTTTAAGGGAGGTGAAATTTTCCGACCAAAAAAAATGTACAGAGAACTTTTACGGCGGCATAACGGGGAAAAACAACCCAATTTTCTGGGAGCGCTTTTAGGTTTAAACCTGTATTCCCCGGGAAAGCAGGAAGGGGGAGAAACTGATTATATACACCTGGAAAATCCAAAAGGACAGTAAACCCAACTTGCACACGAAAATCACTCACTTAAAAAAGCAAAAAAACTTGGCAGACGATGCACCATCCCCCCCCAAAGAAAAACAGGGGTGTCACTAGCACGTTAAGAACCCTAAAAAAAAGTTCAGGGGACCGAGACTGTTTCCCAAAGCCCCCCAGCACACTTTAAAGGGGGAAATTTCCAACAACCCCTGCAGTCTTCAAACTGGCACTGGGCAAGCACCTAAAATCAGTTCCTGATCAGCCCCGGGGTGTGGCTCGTCCCTTTTGGGTTTTTCGTGCAGCCAGCAGCAAAAGCCGGTTTTATCAGGCGCCCCGACCACCAGGAGGCCTGGTTTACAGAAACCCGGGCCCCGGGGCCCTTTACCCCCGAAACTCTCCCCCCGGTAAAAATCCAGGTAAACACCACAACACAACCCCTTTACCCGTAGTCACCCCCCACACCGCAACCAACCCCTTTACCAGTAGTCACCCTCCACCCTGCAAAAAAACCTTCACCAGTAAATCCCCCCTCCACACCAGCAACACAACCTTCACCAGTAAGTCCCCCCACACCTTCAAAAACAACCTTTACCAGTATCACCCTCCCCCCAGTAACACAACCTTTACCCCTAGTCACCCTCCACCCTGCAACACAACCTTTACCGGGAGTCACCCTCCACACCAGCAAAACAACCTTCACCCTAGTCCACCCCCCACACCAGCAACCCAAACTTCACCAGTAGTCACCCCCCCACACCCCGTAAAAACAACCTTCACCATAGAAACCCCCCACACCATAAAACAACCTTCACCAGTAGCACCCCCACACTTTCCTTTCAACACAACCTTTACCATATTTTACCCTCCCACAAACCCGCAACACAAACTTTACCCTAGTCACCCTCCACACCAGTAACACAAACCCTTTACCATAGTCACCCCCCCACAAACCCGAACACAACCTTCACCAGTAGTCACCCCCACACCAGCAACACAAACCTTCCCCGTAGTCCCCCCTCCCCACCGTAACACAACCTTTACCAGAAGCACCCTCCAAAAACCTGCAACACAACCTTAAACCCGGAGTCACCCCCCCCACCAGCAACACCCAAACCCTTTACCCGGGAGTCCACC